CTTTCTTTCTTTCTTTCTTTCTTTCTTTCTTTCTTTCTTTCTTTCTTTCTTTCTTTCTTTCTTTCTTTCTTTCTTTCTTTCTTTCTTTCTTTCTTTCTTTCTTTCTTTCTTTCTTTCTTTCTTTCTTTCTTTCTTTCTTTCTTTCTTTCTTTCTTTCTTTCTTTCTTTCTTTCTTTCTTTCTTTCTTTCTTTCTTTCTTTCTTTCTTTCTTTCTTTCTTTCTTTCTTTCTTTCTTTCTTTCTTTCTTTCTTTCTTTCTTTCTTTCTTTCTTTCTTTCTTTCTTTCTTTCTTTCTTTCTTTCTGTCTTTCTGCCTGCCTGTCTGTCTGTCTGTCTGTCTTTCTTTCTTTCTCTCTGTCTGTCTGTCATCTTCATCTATTAATCTCTGTGTTTGCGGCAGGACACATTGTCTTGCTCGTCTTGGCCGATGTCTCCAGGGTTGCGCTGGGACAAGAGATGGGTGGATCTTCGACTCATCCCCCTCTTGCATGCGCGTCTGTCCCAGTACGTCCCAGGTACTGACATTTGCAGGTGAGCTGAGCAGAAAATGTCTGTTTTGTTTGCTCATACTTTGTCTCTGGCTTTGATAGTAGTCATTTGTAGAGTTGCAGTGCATTAATGTGATGTATTTTGCTTTTGCTTTCATCTGGTAATTCTGTTTGTATTCTAGTCACACAGGATTTTCCTTGATTAGTGTTTCAGGGATTCCCAAATGAACCACATTAGACCTTTAATACCAAATGCAAACTTTAATGAGGTTAAACTATTTGAAATGAGACCTTTTTGCACATCAAGTGGAACATAATTGAAAACTCTTAAATTGGATTAAATTAAATCAATCTGTTTTTTAAATTGCTTTGAATTAAAGTGAATTGAAAAAGGAGAATTAGACATTAGTTAGCTACTTTTTGCATTTTGTGGAATGTCTCCTGAGTGCGCATATTTTTAATTTCTCCAGGCAAAATGCCTTTCAAGTCATTGCTGTGGATGGGGTGTGCAGCGGGGTTATTCAGTGCCCCAGTACTGACGAATGCACCGACTGGCTGCAAGCAATAGCTTCAAACATTTCTGCCCTCACCAAGCACAACGTGAGTACAACTGCAGTTTTAGCATGGTAGAAGTGTAGCAATTTAACAACCAAAGTCAATTGTTATACAAACAGTGATTACTTAGATTGTAAGTACTAATGTAATTTAACCTCTATGTCTTATAATGTGACTAACCAATGTATAGAGGGGTCCAAAAATCTTCTTTTCATCCTGGAAAAAATAAAAAGTTTTAGATTTCGAAGAACTTTTGAAGAAGTTACGCAAAACGAATGATGATGTTTAATATTACCATTCAGAAAGGTTTGGTCGGTAAGATTTTTTAAATGTTTTTGAAAGAAGTCTCTTATGGTCACCAAGGCTGCATTTATTTCATAAAAAGTACAGTAAAAACAGCAATATTGTGAAATATTATTACAATTTAAAATGGCTGTTTTGTATTTGAATATATTTTAAAATATAATTTATTTCTGTGATGCAAAGCTGAATTTTCAGCAGCCATTGCTGCAGTTTTTTAAGTCTAATAATAATTTTAATATGCTGATTTGCTGTTCAATAAACATTTCTTCTTATTATTATTAATGTTGAAAGGTGCTTATTATGTTTATGGAAACAGTAATAAATTTTTTTTTCAGGTTTCCTTGATAAATAGAAATGATTAATGATCCATTTAATGCATCCTGGTTGAATAGAAGTATTAATTTCTTTCAATAAAAAAAAAAAAAATCTGACTGACCCGTGTGTATATATATTTCTATATACATTTATTTTATATCCAAACACCACTATTGACTTTATTTAGCTTTTTTCAAAATAAAAAATACAAATATTATCAGCATTTATTTATTACATTTATTATTAAAGTTAGAAATTTAATTAAAAAATGAGCATGAATTTAAATGTCCTTATATTTGGTATGTTTCCTTTTGATTTTGTGTCTTTTTGCAAGTTTTTGGTTAACAGCATAGCAACACTGGAGCCCTGGTTTAATGGTTAGCGCTCATTCTCTGAAATATTCAGTCATGCTGCTCATACAGAGATTCAGCGTGAATTGTGACATTTCTTGCTTTTGTTTCCCCTCATTTCCTTTCCTCCTTCCACTATTGTTTCTCTAGAAGTTTATTTGATATACCACCTAAAACACAAGGTATTGTGGTTTGTTTGGACCGGATGATCTTTGTGCAACAATGTCAGCGCAGCATTTGCAGATTTATAGTGCTTCATTGTCTTTGGAGAGAGTGTACCGAACCAATTTGTGCGACAGACAACGATAAACTACATTTATGCTCAATGATGGAGGTAATTCAGGAAGACAGTGAATTGTTCGTCATAAATTTTCATTTCCGCCAGGCAGGTCATGTGTTGTAATCCCCTCAATGCAGTAGATTAAGGCATTCAAATGGCATTTCCCACACAATGAAGGATTTCACTCTTAATTAGGATAGAGTGCAGCGTGTGCCTCGTGGCCCAGATCACTCGCTTTTGAGCGCACCCCTACAAAAATCCTCCAATCTTGCGTTCATTTATTTTGAGGGTGTGAGCACTTTTCCAGAAAAATCCTCTCGAAGAAGATGATAAGTTTGCTCCTCGCAACAATGTACTGTAGCGCTTGCTTTGGATTATCCTGCGGAGGGAGCATCTGGATGAGCTTTCAGTCCATTTCCTGCGAGGAAAATAGACCTTATTCCACATTCAAATGGAGCTATTAGAGTCATTTGTGAGACTGGCCGGGGTTACGTGGGTAATGAATCTTGTGAGAATGTTAATCTTGAATAAAGCTTCACAGCAGGAGCGATTCTCCTGGGCTCTGGATGAACACTAGTACCTCTGTTAGTCTGAAACACACAAGATGTATGGCGTTCTTTTATCTGCTACTTGAATAATTGGGCTGAGACATGGTGAAGGTCATTCGGTGATCACCAAAGCGCTTTATTTTAAATCTGTGAAGCAGATTGGCCTTTTATTAGGATTTATGATTGAGATGTCTAGAAAATCTCTTTACTGTTCGGGGGAATGACGTATGACCATCGATTGAAAAGGATTCATGAAACCTATGTATTAAAGGAGCTACGTCGAACAGTTTTGTGGATTATTTTCCTCCCTAAAGTGCATTTATAATTTTAGTTAGTGTTCCCTGCACGAAATATTCTTGAAATACAGTAAACTGCTTAGGATGTTTCTCATTTGTAAGTCACTTTGGATAAAAGCATCTACTAAATGAATGAATGTATAATGCCTGCTTTGTAGTGTACATATCACATTGAAATATATTTTATTATTTATTAATATAAACATAAATATAAAATATATTTAAAGGTATATAAATATTACATATAATATAATATATATAAATATTTAAATCTATTTATTTATAAAATATTTTATACTTTGTTTACTTTTATTTCAATATATATTTTTAAAATCTATACTTTAAAAAAAATCTGTTACTTATAGTGCACACATCACATTTATTATATATACTTTATTATATTACACACATAGTTTAAATATATACATATTATTAATATGAATATATATTAATATTTAGAATATATTTAATAGTATAGTCAAATATATTTAAAGGTATATGGATATTAAATATGATATAAATAAATATTTAAATCTATTTATTTATCAAATATTTTATACTTTATGTTTACTTTTATTTCAATATATACGTATTTCAAATCTATACTTTAAAACAAATCTGTTACTTATAGTGCACACATCACATTTAAATATATTTTAAATATATACATATTATTAATATAAATATATATTAACATTTAGAATATATGTAATAGTATATAAATATAAAAAATAATATATAGAAATATTTAAAGCTATTTATTTATTTAATTTTTACAAATATTTTATAATTCAATATATTTTAAAATATATATTTTACTTTTTTATAAAAAAAAAAACTAATTTAATTATAGTGTGCACATCATCTTTAAATATTTTAAATATATAATATAATCATAAATGTAAAATATATTTAAAGGTATATGAATATTAAATATAATTTACATAAATATTTAAATCTATTTATTTATCAAATATTTTATACTTTATGTTTACTTTTATTTCAATATATACATATTTCAAATCTATACTTTAAAAAAAATCTGTTACTTATAGTGCACACATCACATTTAAATATATTTTAAATATATACATATTATTAATATAAATATATATTAACATTTAGAATATATGTAATAGTATATAAATATAAAAAATAATATATAGAAATATTTAAAGCTATTTATTTATTTAATTTTTACAAATATTTTATAATTCAATATATTTTAAAATATATATTTTACTTTTTTATAAAAAAAAAAACTAATTTAATTATAGTGTGCACATCATCTTTAAATATTTTAAATGTATATTATTATAAACATAAATGTCAAATATATTTAAAGGTATATGGATATTAAATATGATATAAATAAATATTTAAATCTATTTATTTATCAAATATTTTATACTTTATGTTTACTTTTATTTCAATATATACATATTTCAAATCTATACTTTAAAAAAAATCTGTTACTTATAGTGCACACATCACATTTAAATATATTTTAAATATATACATATTATTAATATAAATATATATTAACATTTAGAATATATGTAATAGTATATAAATATAAAAAATAATATATAGAAATATTTAAAGCTATTTATTTATTTAATTTTTACAAATATTTTATAATTCAATATATTTTAAAATATATATTTTACTTTTTTATAAAAAAAAAAACTAATTTAATTATAGTGTGCACATCATCTTTAAATATTTTAAATATATAATATAATCATAAATGTAAAATATATTTAAAGGTATATGAATATTAAATATAATATAGATCAATATTTAAATCTATTTATTTACGTGTACATGTTTTATATTTTATATTTATATTTTATAATTCAACATATATATTTGTGAAATATGCATATTAAAAAAACCTAATCTAATTATAGTGCACATATCATCTTTAAATATATTATAACCATATAAAATAGATTTAAACTTATATTAAATGTAATATAAATATATACATCATTTTATATATTTCAAGATATATTTTGGAATCTAATCTGTTAATTCTTTTAGTGCACACGTCACCTTTAAATATGCATTATAAATGCATACAAATATTTTTAAAGGTCTATACATGAAAAATAAAATATTTCTTTCTTTCTTTATTTGATATATTTTCAAATGTATTTTTATATAAACACATTTTCAAAAATCTGATCCGTTAAATCTTCATAATTCTATTGCAGGTGAAGAAGATCAACAGAAACTTCCCAGTAAACCAGCAGGTAAGGAAACAGAATCAGTCTTGTTGAGAAGCTGTGAACTGGACCTTGAAAGAGTGACAAAAAGCCTGCAGAGATCCAGATAAAGCCCTGAAAGAGCGAGTGACTTGGTCAGCACACTTGAATGAAGCCCCACAATGATGTTTTCTTCAGAGCCACTATTCTTCATGCGCTGTGACGCTCACAGAGCATTGAGATTCTCTGAAACGCCTGACGCCGTGCTCCTCAAAACCATTTGACACACACAGACTGACAGATACTTGGTCACAGTGTCCGGTTTTAGTCTGTGGCATTTTAAATGATCAAGCTTTGAATTAGACTTCATTATTGGTGAATGGAGAAGAGTGTCTCTTCCTGCAGATTCTGTGCAGGCTAATTACTTGGAACGTCTTCTATAACCCACTTAACACTTTCTTCTTGTCTTTTTCTGTCGTTTAGATTATATCTATGGGCTGGGTGGATGAGAAGGAACAAGATTCTGTTCAGGACCGAATGTACACACCAAAGTTTCTTGCCTTGAGGGGCTCGTCTCTCTTCAAATTCTCCGCACCTCCAGTGAGTTCTTCTGCATGATTTACTGCATCAGGAGTCTTTCAGTTTCAATAGCTGACTTTTATACGATTTTATATTTAGCATACGCACGCAATATTTATTCTACTTGGGGCAACTTTGGCTGAAAACACAGTGACAATTATGAAAGCACATCAAACTCTTGTTGAAACTTTTCTTGAGTTCATTGCACTGAAGAATTGTTAAAGGAATAGTTGACCCAGAAATGCATATTTCCTCACTCGTTTAAAATCTTTAAGCAGTTTTTATTGTAAAACAAAACGATTGCATGTCTTGTAATATAGCACACAAGTCAAATGGATTATTTTATGGAGCTTTTTGTTCTATTTGGAGCAAACGTGGACATTGTTAATTGAAAATTATTTATGAAATAAAAATATAAAATTAAAAGAATAATTTAAAATGCTTCTTTGATATTCCATGAAAATATAAAAACATATCAGTGTTGTTATTGTAAAAAATCTAAAACTATTAAAAATCATTTTGTTAACCGCTGAAATGAAGCTGAAATTAATCAAATATAAATATTAGATGAAATTTGAACTTTTAAAAAAAACTTTACTTTACTAATTTTTTAAACTAGAAATGTTGCCTTGGCAACTAAATTAAATACAATTAATAAAAACATGAAATAAGCTGAAGTGCTAAAATTACTGAAACTATAACGGAAATAAAAACGCATTAAATCTAAACAGAAATATGGGGAAAAAAAGCATATAACAAAATTACAAAAACTACAATTAATGCGAAAACTGAAAATATAAAAATAAAAGCTAATTCAAAATATAAAAAAATATTTGAATAGTATGTAAATAATACTAAAATAACACTGCAGCATACAGTATGAGTTTGGATAATAACAGAATATTCTTGTTTAAAGAGTTGCCCGTTTTCAGCCCCAAGCAATTGCCATCCACATTATTTGCTCCAGTTGTTATCGACTTTATGAAATCCATTAATCCGTTCAGCCGTCCGCAGGCTAAATCACCTAACCTGATGCTCTAACACCTGCTTTTAATAAAGCCTAATCTCCGTACATAATCAGCAATTAATTTAAACACCTTCATCATGATTCTGGGAAATGATTTAGAATGAAACATGAATGATAATCCGAGAAGTGTCTCATTAAATGTAAACCTCTCCTAATATGGAGATCGATAGCATTGATAATAGTGGTTTTTACCTCTCGGTCTCCCCCCCGTGTTTCACGTCAGATGGTACGGTCCTGATGAAATGAGGAATTGCTGTAGTTGGTGCTTGTAGATGTTGCCACTTAATGCATTTATCCTGAAGAGATCGAGACATCAAAGAGCTTCATCCAATCTGCCATTAATTGTAATTTGATGGTGGAGTGGGAGGAAGATCAAAAGTTTGGACGTGAAAAGCTATTATGGGATATGCAGATGCAAAATTACATTGGAGAGAACTCACAACACTCAGTAGTTTGTCCAAAGGCTCTCTCAGGCTATTTTAGCTCGTTCAGATGTTCTCTGCTTGCGGCAATAAACACTTGACATGCTGCCTTCCAGGAAGAGCTGGGTAGAAGTCGGATTTCAAAGCACTTTTCACACGAAAACAGTTCGGTTGCACCAAGTTTTGGTTAATCTGGTTAGCCCTGCTGAGAAGATATGTTTTGTGTGTTTGTTGGTGTTCAGAACCTATCACTTCCGTAATCTGACACATTTCTGAGAAACAAAGGACATTCAAGCAGAGAAATTGTAGGATGACTTGAGTTTTGCAACTGGGAATTAAGTGGATTGGGAAAAGTGTCTCTGTATGACACTAGGTTGGAGAGGCTTAAAAATAAGAGGCCTTTCGGGAAAAGAAAGTCATTTCAGATTTCATTTTGATGAACAATTATGGAGACCATTATTTTATTTCCTTAGCAGTAACATCAGTGATTAATCATACACAATTAGACCAGTACTGTGTTAAGAAAGTAAAATGGTAAATTGTTGTTATTATTATTATTATTATTAAATATAATTGTTTTATTACATTTATTTATTCATTTCTTTAAATCTATCCAAATGATTATTCATTAAAAAAACATATTATTTTTATAATTAATTACAAAACATTTTTATTTATTTTTTTATAATATATATTTTTGTAATATTATAAAAAAAAAAAAATTTCTTTGGAGTAACATGAAATAAGGCCAGAAACACATTAAGAAAGTAAAAAGGATCATTTTATTATTATTATTATTATTACATTTATTAAATTCATTACATGTATTCAAATTATTTGTTTCTTTATAATATTTATATAAATTATTATTTTTTTGGAAAAGCTTTAACAATGAATCATACACAATAGAAATGTGATCATAAAGTAAAAAGAGTAATTATTATTATTATTACATTTATTTATTAAATTCATTAAATATTTGTATTTTTTATACATTTTTATTATAATTTTTTTGTCTTGGACAATATTTTTTATTTGTCTATAAAGTAATATTATTTGTTTATAATTTTATTATTATTATTTATATCTATTACATTTATCCAAATGTTTTATTGTTTATTTTGTTTTATTATTATAATATTTATGATATATGATAATAGGTTAATCAACTAACTCAACCAAGTTAATGCACTACTTCCAAATGCCATATATTACTGTTTTATTATGTCTTTTTCCATCCATCAAGGAGGTCTTTAGATGATCACCAAAAGTCTATGTCAATGTGGTGTGTGTGTGTGTGTGTGTGTGTGTGTGTGGTGTGTGTGTGTGTGCTTATTCAAGCAGTGCG